TTGCGGGGGCGCTCCCGCGGTGGGGGCGCTGCGGGCGCTCTCGCCCGCCTCAGCTCCCGGAGGGCACGGCGCGGCGCGGCCAGACTCCCCCGGGGCACCCGAGCGGGCGACGCGAGGCCCCCGCCACCCCCTCCCCCAGCTCCCACCCGACGACCGAGTCCGGACGGACGGAGCCGCTCAGTGGCTGGGCGACCGCAGAGGGCGGGACGAAAAGGAAACGGCCGAGCTCGCTTCTTCAACTGCTTGGATTGGTCCGCGAACGGCTCTCGTCAGCCCTATTGGCTTCCCTGAGTGGGTTGTTATGGTAACAAATGACCGAACAGTCCCCCTTATGAATCCACCAATCAGAAGCGTCGTCTTTTACGCCACGCCTCAGTGCCGTAGGGGTTGCAAAAGCCCCGGTAGGGGCTGGAGAAGAAGGCGGTGCCAGGACGTCCAGCGGAAGGGAGGGGGTGGGGCTCGTGACGTAACAGGAGCAGCCAATCAGGCCCGGTTTCATCAACGGCCCCGCCCCGTTACCGCACATCTCCCCTCCCCTAGTTCATTTCGCACGACGCAGCGGTTGGAAACACAGACATTTTCGGAGCGGGAGTCTTCGCAGCCGCCGCCATTTTGTGTCTGGAGAAAGAAGCTTCAGTGGCGGCTGGAAGTGGACAGAGATCACCCGTGAGACGGCGGCGTTTCATACCCGTGGTTTCCCCTGTGTCGTCCCCCAAGCCCCCTCCGCGGTCAGCATGTGGTGAAGCCGGAGCCGCGGGAGACGCAGGGGAGGAAGCGCAGTCGGCGGGGAGGCGGGGTGTCGAGCGCGGCTTCAGCTCCAGCTGCGGCGGACCTCGGAGGGGGCCGCGGCGCAATGTCAGAGCAGACGCCGGCCGAGGCCGGTGCTGCCGGGGCCCGGGAGGACGCCTGTCGGGATTACCAGTCGTCGCTGGAAGACCTGACCTTCAATAGCAAACCGCACATCAATATGCTGACCATTCTAGCCGAGGAGAACCTGCCCTTCGCCAAGGAGATCGTCTCTCTCATCGAGGCCCAAACCGCCAAGGTTTTTATACACCCCGCAGCCTCCTATTCTTCTAATCCTCCCTGATCTTAGTGGCAGCCTCGCCCCGGTCTCGCTTCACCCAGGGGGACCCCCGCCCCACGCCGGGAGGGAGTGGGGCGGCCGAGGGTGGAGCCCGCTTCCGCCCCGGCCCCCCGCGTGGCCCCCGCCCGCACGCCGACGGCCGCGCTCGGAGCCGAGCC